GACTGTTGAGTGCTCTTTAACCCCGAAGTACAACTTGTTACAGTTCACAAAATAGTTAACAATCGTCAACAAAATCTCTGAAATTTCCTTTTACCTGTTTCTCAAATCTACAGAAAGTTTCAAGTGATTCTACTTTTTTAGTTTCCTATATAGTCCACGAAAAGCAACTTTCGTTGCTCCGATATGCTTGGTGAAAGGATATCTCCATTTTCACGTAAAAAACACTTCACTGATAACAGAGCGCATTATATCGTCACAAATACAATTTAGCAAGATACGTGTACATGTTCACAAAGTCATACCTATCGGCTCATGTAAGTAAACATACTCCGTAATAAATTTATTATCGAATCAAAATGTCTTTAACAAAAGATCCATATATATGATATACGCTGATTTATTGCACCATCCAGTTTTATTACAACGAATAATAGTTGTATATAGTAGTTGTATAGTATAGTACCTTACGAGACATATTTAAATGGTACGTTCCAATAAAAAGAGGCAAGCTCTATCACTACTTTATTGGCCACGGCGGTAAAATTTCGGTAGTAGTGAAAGATAAAAACACTGTCGGTCTCCTATACCCTCTGGAGGATTATAAGTTAAGTTGAGGCTAACTTTCAGAGGCTCCGGAAAAGTTTAAACAGCTGATCAGAGAAGATCTTTGTATTTAATTTTCTAAAATATTGGGTTTCATTTTTGTAAATACCATGATTTTATTTGGGGTAGGAAATGTGGCTGTTTTCGGAAAAATTCCCATATTTTCGTTCCCAATTCATTTAGGTCACCGGAATTGTGTCGAACATAAATATGTCTCGTAAAGTATTTGAAGTTCTGTTGACTGCTTGTCACACTGTAAAATGTAAATGTGCATTGTACTGAAATAAGCAAGCTCTATCACTACTTTAAGAAAGTTAAAGTTTACCTGGTTTCTCTGTAGAGAGAGTTGCTCTGTCCTGCGGTTAAGATCTTCAATACTGCTCCTCCTTCTAATGGCTTGCTCGTGAGGGTTTGGTGTTGGCTGGAAGTTCTGGAAAGCTGATATCTTGAACTGAGCTCCATCTGAGTTAGAGCGCGGAATAACCTCCGTCTCAGAGGAAGGGTTACTCCTTCCGGAGTCCGATAAGTTGGACCTGGTGGGTATTTGAGGGGAGCGTGGTGGTGTGTTTAGAGCTGCTGGTGAAGCAACGCGTGGGCTGAGAGGAGGGCTGGAGAATGTTCTAGCAGGGAGAGGAGGTTGTTGGACGGAGTTGGGAGAGTTGGGTCTGCTTGGGACTTTAGGGGGCAGTGGGGGAGGAGGAGCGTCGAACACTTCATTGTAACTAGAGGTAGAGGTGTTGATAGAACGAGGAGAGGAGACTATACGTGGAGGTACTGCAGGCTGTCCCGACCTGTTGTCCGTTATCATAGACTGTACGTCTGCTAACAGATCGTCTATATCCAACCATTGCTCCTGCTGCTTCGCCTATAGTTGAATATTGTCAGCATTTTACCATGATTATTTTAATTTTAATTGAAAATTCAATTAATAATCATATATTACTAGAAACCCGCTAGTTCGAGGAAGTTTTATAAATCAGTTATGTTTTAATATAATATATATAATCTTTTCATCGTCTAGTATAGCTCGTTATACTGACACTGTAGCTGTTATACTGTAGAAAGTATGGATTTTATTTGACAATGACGACAAGGTTGTAAGTATTCGGATTCCGTATCTATGTTATATTTTAAACTTGACGAAATCCCCCCGGCAACAGGGGCATAGAAAAAAAAAACACACAGAAAATCGACCAAAAACCTACTCTTCTATGTCACCAATTTCAGCTCGCCAATGGAGTTGAAACCTCGCGATTTTTAGCAGGGTTGAATTTTGATTAAGGCTTTAGATTTTCTATAATTAACGTCGGAAGTGAGGTAAAATAAACGTTAGAATAATGGCGTAATTTCATCAAAGGTTACCTGCGTCGTTGCTTAGTAAGAGATTGTACGAGCAAGAACAGACTAGCAACGCGTGTTGCAATGCTTTATACATGATACCTCATAACTAGCTCACGTTTACACTCACGATATCACTATTCATAACTTTGGTTGTGATTGATATTTTTCGATGCGGTAGAAAGTATCGTTTAGGGAATCTTACTGGGCGGCGCTCAGCCTGTCATTCCGCCGAATCTTTATAATATGAACATAATAGCCTGGGGTCCCCAGGTTAAGGGGATCTGAATACTTACAACTTTGTCGTCATTATCAAATAAAATCCATACTACAGTACAAAGCTAGATGATGAAGAGAAATTAAATCATAACTGATTTTTTAAATTTCCTCGAACAAAGCTTTCGACCAGCGGGTTTCTAGTAGTGCATATATAAATTAAGCGTTGCAAAATTACAGCCATGTAAAATTACAATGACATAATTTTGACATACAACTAATGGAACAATGGTATTGCAATATAAGTTGCATTTTGTGTGACCAGATGACAGCGAACTAAACTAAAAAATAAACTTGATTATATGATAATTAATTCGTCTGAACCAACATATAGCAAGAGCCACATTAATGGGACCGTCAAACGTAGTGAACAAATATTAGCCACCTGATCATGTTGGCATGCGTGTACAGTAAATTTCATGACGTACATGCCTCCCTGTCGTGAAATAGCTTGGAACTTTTTAATAGATCAAGAAAATGTGACAAAACAGCTAAATCTCGTGGTCGAGCCGCGCAGTGGCGCGCGTAGGAGGATAACAGAAGTGCTGCGATAATCCTTTTATTACAGTTACGTCATATTCTGCTAGTGGAAAAATATGTAGTTGAGTTTTTGCCCCATTTGTTAACGAAGAGCGCAGCAACTATCTGTAAACGACCAGCATGTCACAAGTTAAACGCGCACGTAATAAACCTTGAAATATCTTGACTAGTATCGGGTTAAAAATCAAATTAATTACGACATTTCACTCGCTTTTTATGACAAGTAGTGAGTCGTTTAAACAGAAAGTAGTAAAATGGAAATTTAAAAGATTTAATACTGTAATATCGTGACTAAGCTGAATATAACTTTGTTTCCTTGGCCACATAAGGACAAAACATTCAACATATTCACATAAAATTATAGTCATTGATCTATTCTATACACTTCTACACAAAAAACAATATTTCAGACAGTATATTAAATTAAGGTGCGAACCATTTGAACTAATAATGTAATTAACTAAAACATACCTTAACTGTATTGGGAGACCATGCAGGAGTTACCTGCTGCGAGCCAGGGTAAGATTCTATCTTAGCAGTAACTATATAAGGGTCTACTAGCGAGTTAGGAGACGCGTTATCAGTTGGGGGTCTAGGAGTAGCGCTGCAAGGCTCTAACTTTGTCTTTATATCATCTAGATGGAGTGGAGTGTCTGTCCTGTTTAAAGTTGTGTTAGGAGAGGAGGATGGTTTGCTGTTCCCTAGATCGGTTCTGGGTGGTAGATCAGGTGAGTTCACCAACAGGTTGTCTACTATAACCGGTAGTGAACGAGATGATTCTGCAGGTTCTTCCTGGATAATGAGAACAGTTAGAACGAACAAGGAACATTTTAAATAGTACTCATAAAACTTTATTTACAATTTTAGTTTTCGGTCCTCGATTTTATTTTATTTCTAATTCATATTCTGTAGTATGCGCTAACACCTAAAAAGCTATACATCTAGTTATTTGTATTCTAGTATAATAAACAAATATAAACACTGACCTGTACAGTTTGAGTGTAGGGGTTTATTATCTCATGTAGCAGGGATATTGGTGCTATCATCTGGTTACCTTGGTTACGCGGCCCTGTACTAGCTCTATCTAAACCTGATAACGGTTTACGTTAAAATCAAAATGTACAATATTGAGGAAATGTCCACTTGTGTTCCACTTGTGTTCCACTTGTGGCTCAATCTTACAAGATTGTAACTTTAGGAACAATTTAGAAACAATTTGTTTAAAATACAGTGCAGATTTTTAGAATACGCATAATAACACATAAGATACTGAAGTACTAAACACCTATTATTATAACACCACTGTCACTAGACCCACTATAACATATCATAACACAATGTTAACTAGGGCAGTGTAAGGTATTTAACTAAGTAATAAAGGCTACTGTGGTTACCATGACAACTACACAGGTAACCATGACAACTACTGTGTGGGGTAGACGGTACTTCATTAGCTCATTTGAAAAGAGTACAACTCAGCTGAGTCGCCACTAACTAAGGTATTATAAAGCTTCCAGATTGGTTCACAGGTCAGAATATTTTAATTTAACTCTCCTAATTAAAATATAGAGGTGGAATATTTGAACACATTATATAATGACAATCATGTACTGTTCCATTGGGTGGTGGGGGGGGGGGGGGTTCCTTATGGGGCAACACCTTACCAATCTGTAGTTCAGGAGAGACATTAGCTACAAGTAAAGCACCCAAATAAAGTATGCGTGGGTGGTTGGTCACCCGTGTTTGTTGGTTTCTCAGAAAAAAGTTTCACGAACAAAATTGTTCGCAAAGAATTCAGGCTGGATTGTAAACATTTTTTAGGAACAAGGTAATGATACTGATTCTGTGATGTAAGGATTAGGATTAAGGTTATAGTAATATATGTGAATTTTCTGCTGGCAAAGCAGCACTTACACATGTGACAGGTGTTTGTTAAAGCTGATTGGTTAACTCCTGTCACGTGCACAAAACATACCTCACCTCCCTAGGAGTATATTCTGTAGGCAGCAGAAGCTAAATGTTAAATGTTGTTCAATGTGTCATCACCCCGTCATCACCTTAAATCTCTAGGGAGATTGCAACAGCACTGCATAATGTAGTATCTTTAGTAACTCCACTTGCAACTCTACTCAAATCCCTTATTCAGTTTTATGTTATGTTCAGTTTGCAGCCGGGGGGAGGGGGGGGGGGGCGGAACTAACACGTGTCCTGACAGATTGTTCAACATTGCCTGGAATTACTTAACTTCACAGCATCTGTACGGATAATTCATCAAGCAGTCAGTCATATGATAGCTCAATGAAAGTGATGCTTGCAAAGAATGTGTCATATCATACAGCTGTACCACTATATAATATATCTATTATATAGTTCGACGTTCATTCCATGCTCTTTATAAGCGAGTTATCACACACTACATTATTTCATGATGAAGGAGTAGGTTATAATGTTTCAGTGTAATTATATTAATACTAGTGTTATTAATATAATTATAAAGTAATTATATTAATACATATATTACAGCTTATTGGGGTGACCACCTTTACGTCATATCAATATTACGAATAGTTTTAAGTTATTGTCTGTGACATTGTCTTAACTGTGACATTGTCTTAACTGTGACATTGTCTTAACTGTGACATTGTCTTAACTGTGACATTGTCTTAACTGTGACATTGTCTTAACTGTGACATTGTCTTAACTGTGACATTGTCTTAACTGTGACATTGTCTTAACTGTGACATTGTCTTAACTGTGACATTGTCTTAACTGTGACATTGTCTTAACTGTGACATTGTCTTAACTGTGACATTGTCTTAACTGTGACATTGTCTTAACTGTGACATTGTCTTAACTGTGACATTGTCTTAACTGTGACATTGTCTTAACTGTGACATTGTCTTAACTGTGACATTGTCTTAACTGTGACATTGTCTTAACTGTGACATTGTCTTAACTGCGACATTGTCTTAACTGTGACATTGTCTTAACTGTGACATTGTCTTAACTGTGACATTGTCTTAACTGTGACATTGTCTTAACTGTGACATTGTCTTAACTGTGACATTGTCTTAACTGTGACAATGTCTTAACTGTGACATTGTCTTAACTGTGACATTGTCTTAACTGTGACATCGTCTTTACTGTGAAATTGAAGTGATGATTTAAACTCCCAAAAGACCTTTATTTTTCCCTTCAAGTATATTATATTATTATGACGGAGCTTAACTTTAGAGTACGTGATAAAGTTGTTTCCTATATGAATAAGGACAATGTTAACATCATTTTGAGGCCCTATTGAAATCACATTATGTTGAACCAGGAATTCCTATCCTGACTTTTTATAAAGAAAAAGAAGATTATTACAGATATGATTTAATTGTTCCTGAACAATTTTAGCTAGATAAAGTTTTTTTTCTTCCCAGAATAATGATATTAGCTGTTAATCATTATGTCATCCTAGAGCGGGGATCACTAAGACTAGTGATAATTATGCAACATAACGTAATTATTATTATTTTAAATATATTATTACAGATATTACATATATTTATACATATTGTTAGTCAGCCACAACTGTCAGTAAAACAACGCCTTGACTTCAAATGTCGGTAAAATGTACCTTTACAGTCATCCTCAAATTATTTGTTATATAGTAGTGTTGAAAGTATTAAAACTATATATTATATATATCTAAAGATTCGGGTTTTAAAGTCTCGCTGCTATGTAGTTTATTCTCGTAATCAACAGCCGATTACAGTGCAATATGACAGTGCATTATTTCAGTGCAATATTTCAGTGCAATATTTCAGTGCAATATTTCAGTGCAATATTTTAGTGCAATATTTCAGTGCAATATTTCAGTGCAATATTTCAGTGCAATATTTCAGTGCAATACGAGCATAGTTAAGGTGTATTAGATTAGTTCCTTGTGTATAGGAATTCCCAGATAGACACATTCTTTTAATCAGAATAATAGTCCAGTAAGTACTAACTACTCCAGTAGTGTAGTAACCATAGTAACCATGGCAGTTGGTTGCCAGGTAACCCTCTTCTACGACGTGCACTGACCCAGGAAATGGAGCAGCTCAGCACCGCACATACCACACATACCACACATACCACACATACCACACATGTAATGCATCCTGGAGTGTAGACATTACTGCAATACATAAATACGGGTCAAGAGAATGTTATAAATGTAGCTAAGTTTTAAGTCAAAGTATTCAAAGTATTCAAACAATTAATATGTAACTGTCCCTTTTCATGGCAAGGTCTCTAAGTTTGGTACCACAAGACCTAACATGGTTCACCTAGCCTCCCCCCCATCTTACATGCTTCATCTAGCCCCCCCCCCCCATCTTGGGGGGGGGGGGGGGTCCAACCCGATTTTTCCGATCAATCCGATCCCGATTTTGGCCTTATCAACCCTCATATCGGAAAAATCGGGAAAATTTAAATCTTCCCTCTGAGGTTTCTAGGCGATATAGGTAGCTATTTCAGTACTTAAATATGACAAGAAATCGATTGGTGGTGGTCCCAGAACCCCAAAATGGTTCCTTGTTTCAAACAAGAATCGTTTCGTCCGAAAAACAACACACTGTCGTATCAACTCTTGTTTGACAAAAACATCCACCCCGGTCCACAATTGAAAGAGGTGCGGTTGGTAATAACAATCGTAACAAATAGCGAACGCTTTAGTAACTTTTGATTTAAATTGTCTCCACAATTTGTAACAGGCTATCTGCAGAAATGGGTAGCACGGTTAATGACCATGGTCCTTTCTCAAACTTCCAATCCTCAGTTAAATACAAAGATTAATCTACACAATTTTTAATAACATTAAAATAAAAGGGATGAAAATAACTTTATTTATCAAAATCTTTATTTATCATGTAACAACTTTTCCATAGTACTGGAAAGTAAAACTCTGTTAAACAAAAAAGTTCTCGAGCACATTTTGAGTCAGTAACAGTAACATGTCAATATGTTACAGACTCAAATGCGTTTAGTAAACATCTTAGTAACAATAAATTATGTAAACTGATGACGAGGAGGAGGAGGACTAAAGAAGAGGAGAACTGAGGAGGAGGAGGAGGAAGACTGAGGAGGAGGAGGACTGGGGAGGACTGACGAGGAGGAGAAGGACCGAGGAGGACTGAGGACTGAGGAGTAGGACTGAGAAGGAGAAGGACTGAAGAGGAGAGGGAGGACTGAGGAAGAGGAGCAGGATTGGTGAGGAGGTGGAGGAAGAGGAGGACTGACGGGGAGGAGAAGGACTAAGAGGACGCGAGGGCTAAGGGCGAGGCGGACTGAGGACGAGGACAAAGACTGAGGAGGAGGAGGAGAAGAAGGACTGGGGATGAGGAGGAGGAGGAGGAGGAGGAGGAGGAGAAGGAGGACTGGGGAAGGACTGAGGAGGAGGAAGAGGACTGAGGAGTAGGAGGACTGAGGAGGACAGAGGAGGAAGACTGAGGAGGACCAGGACGAGGACTAGGAGGATGAGTACGAGGACTAAGGAAGAGGACTAGGAGGATGAGGACGAGGACTAAGGACAAGGAGGAGGACGACTGAGGAGGAGGACTGACTAGGAGGAGAAGGAAGAGGAGAAGGAGGAGGAGGATGAGGAGGAGAACTGAGGAGGAGGAGGATAAGGAGGAAGACTGAGGAGGAAAAGGAGGAGAAGGAGGAGGAGGAGGACTTAGGAGTAGAAGGAGAAGAAGGAGAATTAGAAGGAGGCTGGAGGACTGAGGAGGAGGAGGAGGAGGACTGACGGGGAGGAGAAGGACTAAGGATGAAGGAGTAGGACTGAGGAGGAGGAGAAGGACTAGGGAGGATGATGAAGATGAGGACTGAGGAGTAGGACTGACGAGGAGGAGAAGGACTAAGGAGGAGGATGAGGAGGAGGAGGACTGATGAGGAGGAGAAGGAGGAGAAGGACTGAGGAGGAAGACTGAAGAGGATGAGGACGAGGACTAAGGACGAGGACTAGGAGGATGATAACGAGGGCTAAGGAAGAGGACTGATTAGGAGGGGAAGGAAGAGGAGAAGGAGGAGGAGGACTGAGGAGGAGGAGGATAAGGAGGAGAATGAGGAGGAGGAGGAGGAGGAGGACTGAGGAGGATCAGGAGGAGGATAAGGATGAGATTGAGGAGGAGGAGGAGGAGGAGGAGGATGACTGTTGAGGAGGAGGAGGAGGAAGATGAGGAGGAGACTGAGGAGGAAGGAAGAGGATGAGGAGGAGAAGGAGGAGGAGGACTGAGGAGGAAGACTGAAGAGGATGAGGACGAGGACTAAGGACGAGGACTAGGAGGATGATAACGAGGGCTAAGGAAGAGGACTGATTAGGAGGAGAATGAGGAGGGAGAGGAGGAGGAGGAGGACTGAGGAGGAGATTGATGAGGAGGAGGAGGAGGAGGACTCATGAGGAGAACTGAAGTGGAGGAGGACTCCAGAGGAAGAGGACTCAGGAGGAGGAAGAGGACGAGGACTAAGGACGAAGACGACTATTGGAGGACTCAGGATGAGCACTGATGAGGAGAAAAAGGAGGAGGACTTAGGAGTAGGAGAAGGAGGAGGAGGACTGAGGAGGAGGAGGAGGAGGAGGAGACTGAGGAGGAGGAAGACTGAGGAGGACGAGGACTAAGGACGAGGAGGATAAAGATGACTCAGGAGGAGGATAACTCAGGAGGAGGACTCAGGAAGTGGAGCAGAATGAGGAGGATGACTCAGGAGGAGGATAACTCAGGAGGAGGACTAAGGACGTGGATCAGGAGGAGGACGAGGACGACTATTATATGAGGAGGACTAAGGATGAGGACTGATGAGGAGGAGAAGGAGGAGGAGGATGAGGAGGAAGAGGATGAGGATGAATGAGGAGGAGGGTGAGGAGGATTCAGGAGAAGGACTCCTGGACTCAGGAGGACTCAGGGGGAGGACTCCGGAAGTAGAGGAGGAGGAGTCAGGAGGAGGACTGAAGAGGAGGAGGAGGACTGAGGAGGATCGGAGGAGGAGGACTCAGGAGTTGGACTCAGGAGGAGGATGAGGACTGATGAGAAGGATGAGGAAGACTGAGGAGAAGGAGGACATCTAAATGTTTTGTCTGTTTTTGTCCGTTTTTGTCCGCACTACTTTTTGTCCGTTTTGAAAATATAGGGTAACGAACGGACACAAAACATGATCCCCAAGCATGTGTTACGATACAAATGTACTTGACTATACATTTAAGGTGCAGTGTACTAGTGATATTATGGTTTGTTTAGAGACCGGACCACAAAATATAACCCGGTACCTAGTGTTGTACTAATACATAATAACAAGTAACAGGGATAAAATTAATGAGCAGAAAAAACCGATCTCACGTCAAGAGGCCAAAGCACTCGGGTCTGGGAGTACAAGATAACTCCAACTAGTAGTGAGCATACTAGCCCCTGCAATGGACAAAACACATAAAACATACTATTGGAATGTCTTATTGGTTCGTTTTCTCATAACAATATAGCATATGTAGGGGTTCTGGTTGAATTATATCACGTCTGAGAGGTTTTAGAGATCGATTCTGTAAATTTCTCAATTTTCCGATTTTTCCGATTCCGATTTTGGCCTCATCAACCCTCATATCGGACATCGGGTTGGACCCCGGCCCCCCCCCCCCCCCATCTTAGTTCATTAACATTATAGGACAGTTTTTTATCTGGCTGTTCCAGCTAGATAACCGGCCGGGTGGTGTAGTGGTAACACGATCGCCTACCAAGCAGAAGACCCGGGTTCAGATCCGGATGGATGCAAGTCGGCCAGTTACCAAGCTGTGATTTGGCACAGCTTCGGCTGGTGATACACACTCTCTGGCTCGTACGCGTAGGACTAACCCCCCTACAGCTAGTATAGTGTCTCGGCACAGAGTGGCTTAGGGTTACTGAAAAGGAGATAAGAACCTCAGACGATCCCAACGTTCGGGAGAGACCTGCCCTTGTATCTTGTTGTTGTTCCAGCTAGATATATGAAAAAGGCCCTAATAACCTGATATCCTACTACCCTAGGTAAGGAAACAGCATGATTTACTTATTTCGACACTTAGTTCAATTGTAGTCACTATAAACACTGTTACAAACATATTTCTGCTCCTCTTTCAGTTATTCAAGAACTAATTGGATAATTAATATTAAACATATTAGACAGGTTGACATCACATTTTACACATTACTGGTTAATGGTTACTACATTGTTACTAATGCACATCGTTGTATTAGTCGCTACTCTCACCTCTTCATTGTTCAATGCTTGTCAGCTATAAAGAGCTCTTTAATGTGCTAAAAGTATAACAAGTTGCAGACACTAGTACCAAGTGTACACTACACAGAGTCTGGCTGTGTGCCAAGTTGTACACTACACAGAGTCTGGCTGTGTGCCACGTTGTACACTACACAGAGTCTGGCTGTGTGCCAAGTTGCACACTACACAGAGTCTGGCTGTGTGCCAAGTTATACACTACACAGAGTCTGGCTGTGTGCCAAGTTGTACACTACACAGAGTCTGGCTGTCTGCCAAGTTGTACACTACACAGAGTCTGGCTGTGTGCCAAGTTGTACACTACACAGAGTCTGGCTGTCTGCCAAGTAGTACACTACACAGAGTCTGGCTGTGTGCCAAGTTGTACACTACACAGAGTCTGGCTGTGGGCCAAGTTAGGGAATGATATAATTAAAACCACCTGGAGTCGAGGCGGAGAGGATATTTGAGGGTCAGGTTACGGGGATGTTGTTACTGACCTGTAGGACCTACACCACAATACCACATCACATAACAACATCATATCACATTATCACATTATATCACAATCTTCACTCAGGAGTGGGGTCGTATGGATTATTAGATTTAGGGCAATATAGTGTTTAAATTCATTTGTGGGAAAGTGAAGCGAAGATATCGATAGTTTAAGGAAAGATGACCAGGAAATCCTTTCAATAATATTATGTATATTATAATATAAGCAGTTCAATTTGGCCTCCAACAAGTTTGCACTCTGATTATGCCCCCTGCCCCCCCCCCTGTTTTAAAAACGTAAAGTCAACTCACTAGCAGAAACACTGTGAAGTGATTCATTAGAGTTCCTTTTCAAGCTAGCGTAGGAAATACTCTCAGATCGGATTGAAGGGGTGGGAGAACCTTTCTTCTTCTCCTTTTGCAACTTTAACACTTCGTCCAATGACATTTCTCTCATTTTCCTCTTGCGCTCTCTGAGGGCCTCCAGATCAGATAGTTTCTTCTGATCTGCAGATATGCGCTGATTTTCCAGTTTAGAGTTCTCAATGCGCTCTTTTTCTTTCTGCAGTCCACGGGCTTCCTCCTCCTCTCTTAGCCTCTTATTTTCTTCCTCACGCTGTCGACTTCTAATTAATTCCGCCTCTGAAGGAACAAGGGTCAGGTGGAACAAGATTAACATATTTAATTATTATTACTGAAGTACTAATTAGTAATTAATTAATTAATTAATTAATTAATGAGAGAATTTCAGTACCTATTTACCTATAGATTTAAATACTAATAACGGAATCGCCCGAGAGACGTATATTTTCGCTTCAAGTATATTATATTATTATGACGGAGCTTAACTTTAGAGTACGTGATAAAGTTGTTTCCTATATGAATAAGGACAATGTTAACATCATTTTGAGGCCCTATTGAAATCACATTATGTTGAACCAGGAATTCCTATCCTGACTTTTTATAAAGAAAAAGAAGATTATTACAGATATGATTTAATTGTTCCTGAACAATTTTAGCTAGATAAAGTTTTTTAATGAAAGTAAACACTATAACTACCCACCGAATTGCTGAAGTCGTTGCTGCTGATTGTGTTTCTGTTGACTGATGATAGGATCTAGCTCCATTAGACCCTCCAACAGGCTGTCTATGTCCTCGAAATCAGCATTTAGCTGTGCACTTTGCTGTGCTTGATGCGCATATTTCGAGTTTTCAGCTTCTAATTGCCATTGCCTGTCTTTCTCAAACTGTCTCTGTTTTTCAGCTTCAATTTGTTTGATGAGGTCTAGTTGTTTCTGTTTTTCTAATTCATCTGTTCTATGTCTTTCTAATTCAGCTTGGCGATCTTGTTCGACCCTCTCCCTGTCCAAATTAAGTTTTGTGTCCATTTGTTTCTGTTCTTCCACCTGCCGTTGGTATTCACGTTGGGCTTCAACTTCGCGCCTCCTTTCTTCTTCTTGAATTTTGATGAGTTCCAACCTTTGCATTTCTTGGATCTGCTGTAATTCCCTGTGCCTTTGCAACTCTTGGAGTTGTTCTCTTTCAATCTGTAGTTGCAATTCTTGCTGTCTCTTTATATCCATCTGCCTTTGGATGTGTTGTTGAGCCTGAATAGCTACAAGTTTCTGTTTTTCTATCTCTTGCTGCATCTTAAGGTCTTTCAGTTGTTGCTCTTCTATTTGCTTTAGCTTCTGTAGTTCCCTCAGTTGTTTTTGTTCCATTTCATGTCTTTCTAATAGTTGACTATCTCGTTTGCTGTCACGTCTGCTATCCCTGACAGAGCCATCTGAATTGGGACCAAAGAAATTTTCGAGAGACGTTCTGGGAATTTCTGGTGTTGGGGCCTTTGGTCTCAATATAGGAGCAAACTCATCTCTCATCTGCAAATCACTAGGAGGTGTGGGTCCACTGTTTTGAACAGGGGAATTGTTATCAGAATTAGGAGGTTGACCGATTTTTAGAGCTTCCTCTATTTTCTCAATTTGGATATCTTTTTTGTATTTGGGTAGCATAGGCTCTTCATCGTACTGGAGGTAGGTCATTTCGTGCCCATCAGGTGAGGGTGGTCTATCATCACTGCTAATACTGCTAGTTTCAGATTCTTCACTTCCTGAATCAGTTTCTTCTTCCTGTTCTACTTGTATAGGTTGAGGTGACACTTGCTGCAATGGTTTGGACAGGGTAGGAATTGGGCGCTGCCACCTTGGCTGAGCAGGAACATGAAGTTGTGGTTTAGCAACAACCTGCGGTTTAGCAACAACCTGTGGTTTAGCTGCACCAACCTGCGGTTTAGCAACAACCTGTGGTTTAGCAACAACCTGCGGTTTAGCAACAACTTGGGGTTTAGCTGCACCAACCTGCGGTTTAGCAACAACCTGTGGTTTAGGGGCAACAACCTGAGGTTTAGCAACAACTTGGGGTTTGGTGACAACTTGTTCCTTAGTTGTCAATTGGTGCCGTAGGGTGACTTGTGGTTTAGGCTTGAGTGCAATGGTTGGCTTGGTTGAAGCAGACATTTCATCAGGCGAAGACTTTTCAACACTGTTTTTGGGCAGTTCACCTGCAGAGGTGGATGGTTTTGGCGGTGGTGTTGGTTTAGTAGAAACTGTTGGCAAGCGTTCCTCTGCAGGGCTATCATGATCTGTTCCAGTTTCGTGTATGCCACTGTCAACAGATCCCATGGACGATTCCTCTGATTCCTCTGATTCTTCAGCAGTAGGTGGTACATGATCAAGTGAAGGATCATGTTCAGGTGCAAGTTCCAGAGGCAGGGGAGCAGGAGGCGGGGGAGCAGGAAGCTCAATCAGACTTGTTTCTTTGAATTTTCTGGGAGAGGATTTTTCAATGACCTCTGTCATTTTTGCACTGAAAATAACATCATCAATGTTTGTCTCTTTTAATGGATTTGATTTACTAAAGAAGCTATCATCTTCTTCATCATCGTCGTCAAGACCATTGCTAAGAATGTTCAAACATTCCTCGTCATGCTCTGACTGACCCACAACATAAACATTTTCCTCACTACTCTCTTCACTAGAATTGCTTTCACCATCACTACCATCTTTAATTGAGGATAAGGGAACGTAACTGCCAGCAATAGGAGGTTTAAAGAAGCTTATCTTTATTTGATCATTCAAGTTAGGCTTGAGGCTTAGATCTGAATCAGGAGTTGATTGGTCAGCTGGTTTAGCAGGTTTTGCAGCATCCTGATCAAGGCGTTGTAAGACTTCTGGGTTATTCATAAGCATGATCAGTCCTTCACTATGGATAGTATCTTTCTTCTTTTTGTGGTTAGACTTAATGTAGTGACGGGTAAATGTCCTAGGTGCTGCATATTCAATCCTTACTGGGTCACTGCTGAATGTTACAGACCTCTTGCCTGGTCGGTGTTTGATGAGAAGGTTTTCCTCATTCCTGAAAGAATTTGATAATGTGTGCAAAAATGTTTTATTTGATTGTTTTCTTATGATTTCCTAAAAATCTCAAATGTCCGATTATGGCTAAAAACGGTTATTTTGCGCAAAGATTGTTTGAAGCTTTGAGTGCTCTTGAGATAAATTGACCATATACAGGTTTCTGTTTTTTAAATAATAGGAAAAGCCACCCCCGGATTTCAGGTTTTTTCTTGAAGGAAGTATTATTTGGACAGCTAAAGAAAATTCGATTATGTTCTGTAGGCATTCTATGAAATAAAATCATCAACAAAAATTATCAACAATCAAACCTGTGTGAATATATAGAAGACAGTTCTTTCTTGGAAGCAGCAATTTCAGCTTCCCCGTTACTTTCATTTTCTTTAACAACAGGAATAGGTTCAATAGTCTTATGCTTTGACTTCTTGAATGAGGACCTCTTGGAAAACTTACTTTTATCTGCAATTTCTTGACCCTCAATTTCCTGAAAATTAGTTTCAAGATGCTTGTTAACAAGTAAATATGGCTTGTTTGTTCAGCCAAATAATCATTTAAATCAGATCAAATTTGATTAAATGTAAGTATCACAAAATTGATATGATAACTCAAGAAATCTTACCATTATCAAGTGATACCACAATAAGATACCCCCATTTCACATTGCCATGTTCAGCAGAACTTGATTATCACATGTCGATGTTTAACTTACCTACGAATGAAACGATTTATAAACCCGATAAACACAAAATACAATGAATCGTATGTCATTGCAGGAGGAAAAAAAACTTATATTAAAAACATTTAAGCCTACACAGTTGATGGGACAATGAGGTACACATGTTTAACGCTTTCAGTGCAGCCATAAATGTTTTGCAATATCATTTCATAATACTGCTCAATGTAGAGACCTGTAGACCACTAAATTGAAGATTAAAATTGATATTCGATTTCACCAACGCTACTGTAGCACAGCTCATTCAACAGCAAAGTTGTATGGAGACAAAACATTATAAAGAAAACCATCCTCAATACATAGTTCTTTCAAAACAGGAGCTTGTTATCATGTATATTTGTGTTTAAATAGAAAATTTAAGGAAGTTCTCTAGAATTTAATAACAAACCAACTTCTCAAAACTGAGTTAAGGGGGTCTTCAAGAAATTTTCACGAAATCGACTTTCTAGTTGTTTCTAATACAATTTCAGAGAATATAATAATAATAATAAATTGAAATTTAATAACACCGCTTTTAAGATAAATCTTATACTCAGCAGTGTTTGAACTAGTCATCCCAGAAAATATCATGAATACTGAGCTAAAAAATAACATATGCTTGAAAATATATCGTCAATACTAAAGCCCGAAAATGGTACTTAAATATATTATGCAAATATCGAATTCCAAATATGACCACAATAGTTATCGATAAAGTTTTCCAAGTTCATCTGGAGACATTTTGAAAAGGTAAGTTTTTAGAAAAGCTTTAAAACATTCCACAGATTGAGCAGAGGTGATGGTAACAGGCAGACGATTGTAGATCTTTGGAGCCACTACAGAGAAGCTACGCTCACCAAACTTTGAATTACAAGAAGGAACAATAAGCTTCAATGAGTGACCATGATGAGCATACTTGAACATGTCCTGCAGATAAATTGGTGCCAATCCTAACAGTGACTTGTGAGATAGTAATAAGATTTTGAAGACAATCCTTTTCTTTACATCTAACCAGTGAAGCTTTATCAGGTCATCATCAAGATGGTCATGTTTATATTTACCAGTGACAGCTTTTGCAGCAGCATTCTGAAGTAACTGGAGCTGATGCAGCAGCTTCTCGCCGATACCAAAGTACAGACCGTTACAGTAATCTAGACATGACACTACTAGACTGTTAACAATGATCTTAATCTGTTTGGGACTCAGTAGAAATCTGATTTTTCTGATATTACATAACGTATGAAAACATTTCTTCTTGAGATTTACGATCTGTTTATCAAATACCAGCTGATTGTCCATTACTAATCCAAGGTTCTTAACAGTAGGCACAAACATTACCAAAGTGTTAGGAGCTATATCAACGCCATGAAGTTCTATCTCACTGAGCATTTTACTAGGTCCAAAGACTATGATAGTCCAGTCATTTAAGGACAGCTGCCTGCAAATCTTCAGATACTCACGAAACTTTGCACAGACCTTCCCAAAGGTATGAATAAACAATTTTCGGTTGGAGACATTTTTTTTTACCGTGGGCAAAACCCAGGAGGGCCACGCCCATATTGACCCAATAACGTAACTGACCCCTTGCTTCTGAAGGTCGTAGAGACTTCAAAATAAGCTTAAACGAAGCCGCATATGCATGTTTATATAAGAGTTATTGATCAACACATGGCCTAAAATCCTTACTTTTCGAGAAATTCGCCAAAAACCATTTTGGGCGTGGCGCTGAGCCCATTTTACTAACTTTTGATAGGATTGTGATAGAGTCTTTGGGGAGAGTGCAAAAGAACCGCAATTGGCATATTTATATATGACTTACGAAGAAACATATGCCTTAAAGTGCTTGCTTTTTCAGTTATTGGCGAAAAACTGATTTTCGGTTCCAGAAATCATGCAAAAATATGGGTATCTGGTATATTGGGCTATGAAGGCCCTAGAGATTTTTGAATAAGTGCAAATTGTACAGAATGGCCATGTTTATATACAACTTATGAAGCAACATGCACCCTAAAATGCTTACTTTTCGAGTTATTTGGGGAAAAAAACAGAGAAAATTTGCACAAAATAGAGCAAACTTGGTTATATCAGCCATTTTTGCCTCCCGTTCTATGTTAATAACTCGAAAAGTAAGCATTTTAGGGTGCATGTTGCTTCATAAGTTGTATATAAACATGGCCATTCTGCACAATTTGCACTTATTCAAAAATCTCTAGGGCCTTCATAGCTCAATATACCACATACCCATAGTTTTGCATGATTTCTGGAACCGAAAATCAGTTTTTCGCCAATAACTGAAAAAGCAAGCACTTTAAGGCATATGTTTCTTCATAAGTCATATATAAATATGCCAATTGCGGTTCTTTTGCACTCTCTCCAAAGACTCTATCACAATCCTATCAAAAGTTAGTAAAATGGGCTCAGCGCCACGCCCAAAATGAGCAGTTTCTCAGCTGATTGGTTAAGGTTTTGACCTGATCAGAGGGTTTGAAAGATTTCATGATTTGATGATCATCTGCATAACCAATAATGGAGAAACCAGATTCTTTAACACATCTGTACAACGATCTGATATAGATGTTGAAGAGTACCGGCCTAAAACAGAGCCCTGAGGAACTCCAAATCGGATAGTTATTGTTTCAGAGACAGATTTGCCGAGTCTAGTCCGCTGACAACGTCCTTTAAGGAAGCTGGTGCACCAGCTAAGAGCAGTTCCTCTGATTCCTATTTCTTGCTTCAAGATACGGAGTAACAAAGTATGGTCCACAGTATCAAAGGCAGCACTCAGGTCCAAGAGCATCACCGCAGTAGCAGTTTTTTCATCTGCTGCTATTAAGACATCGTTCACTATTTTAATCAAGAGTGTTTCAGTGCTATGGTGTTTTTTGTAAGCAAACTGTTCCTGACAATTAAGGTTATTCCGACTAAGGTGCTCGTTAAGTCTTCTTAAAACTACTCTTTCAATTAGTTTTCCCAGGAATGTAAGGTTTGAGACTGGCCTGTAGTTTTTCAATATATTCGGATCCTGAGAATCATCTTTTATTAGCGGAATTACATCAGCTAGTTTCACACCATATAGGTATGGGTCAAACTTAGAATTAATGAAAGTTTCGTAAAATTCCATTTATTACGGAGGGTGTGGCACCCCGACCCAACTCCCTCTTTTTCACTATAATTGTTTTTTAAAGAGTTATGACCATTTTAAGATCTGGCGGATACTTGATCCCAACACTTAATCAGTGATCTCCTCACTCAATCAACCTTCTGTTTGGTTTGAGACTGCTTATAGGGCAGCAACCGAAGCGATGTAACACGAATATCTATGATTTTAAGGAAAGTCACTATCAGTATTCACTCAAAGTGATCAGATCGTCATCCCCAAACATGTATGGTAATGCCGAATGAGGCTCATTGTTGCACGTTAGCGCATACCTCCCGATGAGATCACTGATTGGGTGACGAAATCACTGATTAGGTGCCGAGATCATGTATCTGCCAGATCTTAAAAGGGTCATAACTCTGTGTTTAGTCAAATTGAACTTCTGGGAAATCACTTGAATTATCAAACTAAATAAAATTATTCAAACAATATACACATAATATAGCAATGACCCTATATAAAAATTCTTTAAAAATTTTGAGACCATGATGGTTGGTCATTAAAGGAATGGTCCTGCAGGGTTTCCCTGTAAGAGCAGCTGCACAGTGGACAGTAGAAGAGTCTGTGATAATTGGTGTCCAATACCTTACAATTTGGACACTGAGGGTCGCAGTTGTTGGCTACCCTTGCCTGGAAGGCTGCAAAGGTGACGTCATGGCCATGTAGGAGAGACATAACCTTAGTATCCGTGTTTCTGCTTGAGTAACGAGGAAATAATCGTTTGCTCCTTTCATCAATGTTATCCAGTATCTGACCCTCACTCTGATTTATTCTTGAGTTCAGCAGGAGATGTTTATTCCAAGTAAACTACATGAAGCGGATTATTTCTTCTTTTGAGTAGCTGACAACATCGTTCTGGACACTAGTCAGAAGGTCTATTTTGCTTCTGTTTAGTTCTTTGGACCCAGTTTTCCACGTTAGAAACTTACGTATCTCATCAATATGGTGCTGGTATCGGTGGGCCTTTGCCTCCTCTAGCTGCAAGATGAGCCCTTGCATAAATGGGTCACTTGTAAGTGCTTTTATTATAAATTTTATAGTGAGATTGGTACATCTGCGAGATGCTCTTGTCACTGTTGGACTGGGCTTGAGGGTGAAGTACCCTTACATCTGTGAATGCCCTGTCCAGCGGCGACCAGAACGATCTCGCACTGATGTCCAGTCTTGCACCATCTTGTCTATTTTTTCCATTTGATAGTTTAAGTGTGTCTATTAAATGTGTCTATAAATATACATTGGGAACTAACCATTGGGCACTTTCCTTGAAAATATTGTGCTCTGCCAATTGCAGCACTAAATTTAATTGTGCTCTGCCAATTACATCACTTGATTTAATTGAATGTATACATTGTTTAAGTGACATTTTCCTTTCCTTAAAGCATTAGTCTAACGAATACCTTAAAAAACCATTCCTCGGACAGATTTCCATGAATCAGTTTATTCTGATTTGCCATTGCTTTACACATGAGCAATTACAGGAGCAATTGCAGGCCCCCACTTGTCCACCATATCAATCTCTTTGCAACGTACGCGTACTTAACATGCATCTTCGTCTTTAATTTCATCAATGGTTTCTGCAATAAATAAAAAGTGGGGGCATAGCATAGTAGCCTACATGTTACATTCTAAAGTATTTGACATTTCTTCAATTTAACTTTGTCCATACTCGCAGCTGGTATAGCAAACAGATAATTTCTTTCATGTGATAGTACTTGAGTAAAAATCATGGATGGCTTTTACGATTTTATTGTCCTTCAATTCCAAATTCGTTTTGCTCCAACACCATGTTTTGATGTTACTGCACAATGCACACTGGTAGGTGTTTAAAAATAAATTTGACTA